GAAGTAGATTATAAAGACTCAAAGAAAAAAAGCAGTGATTAATCTGTCATTGACAGGATTCCTATATACCAATGATATTTAACATTGTTTATCGAAACAAATTCTCCCACATTATCTCAATTACTTTCACTAAAGATGAGGACTATCTACAGTGCAGTAGAAAGTGTATTTAATGTGTTGTTATTGTTCTTATGGATTAAATGGAGAAAGATAAGTTTAGCAGAGGTACAGTTAGATACATAGAAACTAGTGGAATACACCTAAAGAACACTGACCAAGTAGGTCTGTGATTGCCCGTGGGGAGGCTATTAGTATTAAATATTCTCTCAGCTTTACCCTGTTCAGTGTTTTTATTCAACTGGATAAGGCTGTAGAATACATGCTAATAAAGTTTTTCAATAACAAAAAACTAGGAATTCTATCATATACTTACAGATAATAGAATTAGAATCCAAAAGGATTTCAAAAGATTGGAGAAAAATGGGCAGGCCGGGTGGCGCACTGGATAAGTGTGCCGCTTGGGAAGCGCGGCGGCGCTCCCGCCCGAGGGTNCGAACCCGAGGCCTTGGTGTTATCAGCACCGCACTCTCCCGATTGAGCCACGGGCCGGCCCAGGACTGTTGGCATTTGGACCAGATAATTAATTCATTGTTGTGAGAGGCTGTCCTGTCCATTGTAGTATGATTAGCGGCACTCCTGGCCTCTGCCCACGGGATGCAGTAGAACTCCCCAGTTTTGACAATCAAATATGTCTCCACATGTTGTAAAATATTCCCTGGGAATGGCAAAATGACTCCTGGTGGAGAATCACTGGACTGCATAATTTTCTAGATTATTACAACAGTTTGCCAATGAGATCACTGTGTTTTTTCCAGTGATGGAAGAGAATGAGAAAGTTTCTAGAAGAGTGGGGTCAGCATAGTTCATGTTTTCAGAGTGAGAACCCAATGCATTCTGTAGGCTAACACTGGTGAGAATAGTTTTGACTCTGGTTAAAGTTGTAGAGTAAATTATTACGGAAGTAGATTATAAAGACTCAAAGAAAAAAAGCAGTGATTAATCTGTCATTGACAGGATTC